TTTTGCGTTTGGCAAAGGTTAGTGTCATTATTTGTAGCATGAGGTGACACCTAGACTCTACAGAGGTTGCACAGGTAGTCCAGTCACTCCAGGATGACACATCGATATGTGCCAGTGCCTGAAGCTTTGATGAGTCCCTCAAGAGCATGTAAGAGAAGACATGTGCCAGATATGGAAGGGTCTGGGAAGCAGTGGAAAATGTTATGCTACATTGTTTAGCATGACCGATTTGGTGGTGATTAGTGGTCATACAAACTACTGATTGCCATTTTCAGTTGCTGCAATTAAATTTCAGCAAAACACACTACCTGCCACATCATCCTTTCACATAGATTCGCTGGCTGTTTTTAAATTCAGGCCTCGAAGGTTGATAATTTTGCTTTCCACAAATTTCCTAATACATTACCCAGTCAGCCCTATGTGTTTTTCCCACATAGAGATCTGGCATATATTTAAAGTTTGGACCACTGTATTTCTGTAACTTTTAATGGATCAAACACAAAACTGAAAGACCTACGAACAAGCAGAAACCAAAGCGGGTAACAGAATCTTTAGTTTCCTCAAAAATTGCCTCGTTGTTCAAAAAGGTATGGACCTAACTGCATAAGAAACCCCAGTATACAGAGCTTGTTTTTACTATACATTTATACAACTTATGGTGAAAGTAATGAACTGCGCAAACAGCAACGTTTTACATATATTTATTGAACAGTTAGGGCTACAACAGTTACTCAGCATTGATGTGAATATGCAAAGACTGAAGAACGCAGCAGTCTGAGGTAAACATGGTACTAATGCTGAGCCCATAGCAGGCCTACAGTCAATATGAGTATAGTGATATCTACTGTTAGGGTTAATGTGCTTCTAATCTACTGTGGAACAGTACTATATAAATGAGGTAAGGCACTGGATGCTACAATCTAATTCATAGAAACTATAAAGTTGAAAGTAAATCAGTAGTAAAACAGTCCAAAAATCTTTTATCTCCACGGAAATAAAAGTGAAAATCATCAACAAAAAAAAAATCGCACTCTTTGGACTTCAGGTTTAAAAGTAGTTGAGAGAGTTCAGAATGAATGTGGGGCCCCTTCTAGATTTTTTTTGTGTGTGTTGTAGGAAAACACATTGATGGAAAATATTGAGGATTAACTCGTGAGCCGACTGTGCTGAAATGCAGCGATTTCTCCGTAACATGAAACAGGATGGCTCTTCTCAAACAGCTTTGGGTAAAAATGTGCTGGAAAAATTAAAGCATGTAAACCTGCTTCAGCAGAATCATATAATAAAGTGATAATGCTAAAAATGAGCCTAACGGGAGCCTCCTTAAATCTGCTGCATGCGTAGTGTTGTGTATAGCTTTCAGTACAGGAAGTGTTGGACGGCAGAGACGGATGTTTCAGCCTCGCAAACGACACACCTGAAAATAAAAACTCTTTCTAATGAGCGCGCCGTTGAGTGTGCGCCAACCTGTTGATCGTGTGTTTTTAATTGTTGTGCTAGGGCTTTGGTTTCTGTTTGCGAAGTTGTAATGGCACAGCTGGGGACGTTTAACTTTGCAGCTTTATGGCATCTTGTCGTCGCTCCGAGCTGCCGTTTGCCCACTCTCAGCTGTGAGCAAGTGGTTGTGATGCAGAAAGAGGATTGCATCCAAACTTTCTGGAGGAATATTTGATCTCTTTCTGTACGTGGCTCCTCCTCCTTCCTCC